TACCCTCTGGGCTAAGGAAAGACGGGGCTTTGATTCACAAAGTGACCGCAGCTCGTTGTCTTCCAACTTGTGTAACTTGCGTAAGTTGCGTAACTTACGTAAAAAACGTGACGTAAGTCGTGCTCCCCAGAGCCGGCGCTCTCGGCTCTGGTGCTGCGGGAATCGAAAAAAGAATCATTCAGCAAGCTGCCAAACGATGCCATGGAATCGGAAAATACGGAACCGGTTCTTAACAGGAACCGGTTTTCGATTCCCATCCCTACTGATAGGAGATGGAAGATAAATGACTGGGACAGAAAACTCACCCAAAAACATCTGCTTTCCAACAAATAGACACCTATTCTTTTTTTAAAAGAAAATAACAGATAATCAATGACAAATCTAAGTTTAGATAATTAACAGTTTAAAACACACCTTCCTGAACATGGAAAAAGTTTTGCTTTGATGCTGTAAGTCACTGGTTATACTTTCTTTCCTTGTGTACCATCTAAAACTTATATGGGATCTTCAAGTTGCACAATAATGATGAACAATAAAAGCCTTTAATATATTCCTTTTTTGCTACAAAAATAGCTTGCAAATGAGACGCAACTACTTATTTAGCAACATTTGAATACGGTATCAAGTTTTTAGTTCCACATCTACACAAATTTTATCTCTCAAGTATATAAGTTATATTTGTAACTTTGGAGTATATTGCTGAAGAAAATGTAAAATATTATTCTGAGACATCTAACAGACTAAAATCATCATTGATAGCTCTAAAACAGAACAGCATTTGACATGTTAGGATTAAAATCTCCCTATCTAATGGTATATTCTGAAATAATTCAGACACTGGTCTCAGAAATAGATTGTGCAATAATAAGTTTTTGTTTTTAATTTCTTGAAGAGATTTTCTTTTGAACCTTAATAGCTGTAGACAGCAGTCTTTTTTCCCCCTTTTACCCAAGTGTTATCTGTATTATCCTATACAATAGGCCTGTAAAGTGTTGATGCCTGCATATAAAACCTCTTTTGCTGCAGGGATCTACACAGAAGCTGAATGTTCAGGTTCAGCAGAGCAGACTGATCAGCCTGAGATAGAAATGGGGATGCTGAACGGAGGACGCAGGATTGACTATGTGCTCCAGGAAAAACCTATCGAGAGCTTCAATGAATACTTGTTTGCCATCCAGTCTCACCTCTGTTACTGGTAAGTGTCTAATAAATTAAATAAATCTGTACTTGAATCTTCTTTTTGTTATTTAAAAAATATCACTAAAAGAAAGGATCTTTTTCTCCTTTAGGGAATCTGAGGACACGGCTCTACTGCTGCTGAAGGAGATTTATGACAAGCTTGGTGTTGCTTTCGAACAGCCACAGCAGTAACAAATGAGTGTGAATGTATTTATGCTTTCTTTATCCGTTATCTGGAAGTGAAGGAAAACCGATTGAGACAGAAACTAAACAGACAATCCTCTCCAGAATGCCTTACTGTCTGTGTTTTGTTTTTTGTTTTTTGTTTTTTCCAACTGCTGCCTGGTTGGTTTGGTGCATCCAGGTAGTCTTGGTGTATATGTTTGTCAAAGCATGATTTTGGAAATGTTGGCTCTTCAGCCATTTCTACAATCCAAATGTTTGAGTTGGGTTCTAATATTTCCTGAAGACCCGCATCGAAGCACCTTTTTGATGAGATGTTATCATTTCTTGGCACTTTCATAGTAAACATGACGTCATGAAAGGTTATGATTATAATTATTAAACGCACAATGTATAAGAGGGTAATTAGTTTTCAGCTGCCATATATTTCAAGTTAGAAGAAAAAAAGGTTAGTTTTTTTTAAACTTCACCTTTATTTAATGTTGTAACATATATTGACAGACATAAGCTATTGTCCCAAAAGAAACAGGTGAGGGTTTTGATTTCTGTCTAACAATGAAGGTTTTATTTCTGTTACAAGTATTATTTTTGACAGCTATTTATTTACCTTTTGTAATAAAAAGGCTTTAAACAAAAAGCTGCCACACTTGTATTTCAGTTATATAGTTATGTGAGCTTCCCTCATTTCCTTTAATTCAACATATTGTGTTATGTTGTTTGATTACATTTGTATTTAATTATTCATGCACCTGTCGTATCAATCCAAATAATGAGTTGATGCCATGGGAAAAGTTGGCTTTTTAAGAGGCAGCAGGATTGTCTTTTCATTAGGTTTGTATGTATGCAACATATCTTTTTTGTATCTACTACAAAGTATTTATAGATTTAACCTTCTTCATCAATACGTCATCAAAGACAGAAACACTTTTTTATCCCTACCAGCACTCTATACATAAAATGTGTGTTTGTGTGTGTGAAATACCCAAAATATGCCCATTTCTCTGTCATCCTTTGTCCTCATGTATAAATTATCTTTCCTGTCTGTACCGCATGCATTTGTGTTTGTTTAGAGATTCTCTGCATATTTAAGTCCATGATTTCAGTTCTTTTTAGGCAACAAACTATAAAACAATTTTTATATATTTTATTATTTAGAAAGCAAAATGTTAACTTGCGTTGTCGCTTTATTTTAAAGGGAATTACAGGTATCGCCTTGTTGAAAAAAAGAATCCCAGAATAAATCTTTTATAGTAATATAAATTGGTAGGAATTTTTTAATGCTTTATGGAAACCACAGCCCTGCACCAACCCTGTAGTGTTCTCAGTCAACAATATCCTTCCACTCTCGCCATTGTCTCCGTAAATGTCAGTCACATCAATTACAGCAAAGTTTAACTCCATTAAATTGATCCTAGTTTCCATGACCTCTATTGTAGCACTCCAGTCTTTGATTCAAGCCAAAAAGGTGCATTCCTCTCTAAACAAACCCCTTAATGAATGTGGTTACATGGCTTATGTCTCATAATAAAAATATTATTTGAGTTCTGGTGTATGAGTTTTTCTCAAGGGTTGGTTCTTCTTGCCCTGTAAACATATGCAAAGTCTGAAAGAAGAATGAAAATTCTGAGTTATTGAAATCACGCATTAATACTAATTAAATAGCTATAAAGTTTTTTTTTACAATACTGAAACCTAATAGAGGAGTTTTTTTTTTTGTTTTTTTTTTTTTTTTACATTTTATTGATTTTAAAACAGCAAATACACAACATAAAATGACAATTAACAGTTTTTTACAGTGTGAAATTTTACCATAGATTAACCGTCCCAGCATGACAATTTACAGTTTCAGCATCATAATTGTGGTCTCAGCTTCATCATACAAACCTAGCACAAGAATTCACCTCATCGCAGGTCTATGTAACATAATCTAGAAAAAAATAAAATAAAAATTGAGTTGTGAAACTTGTTTACTTGACTAAATCTTTCACAGGACCCCGGCGTTGGCTGAAAAGGTCTTTTTGGTGTCTTAACGAGTATGTTATCTTTTTCATTTGGTATAATTCCCTTACAATTTGGACCCATGAGTTGTAGGAAGGTGGCTCTGGTTGCTTCCACTGCATTTCAGCGCCGCTGTAAGAAGAACATTTAAGATGTATAATTTGGCTCGTCCTTGCAGCCTAACTGGCCCCTAAGCAACTGCAGTCTCTGCTTACCGATATTTATGCCTTTGCTTTTTTATATGTAATCCAATGACGCTTTTTTATAAACCCCGGCGCATGCGCAGTGAAGCGGATCTCATCGCTCACAGCTGGTGACATGTCAGGAGTTTGGAGAACCGTCAGGCAAGTCACAGTGCAAACATTTAGATGTGTATTTTTGTTTCGTGTTCTCCCCTTAAAACGCTGCATGAATGCAACATGAACGTATGCATTTTAAAACCATAGGAAGAAAACGTTTTTCACGCAAAAGACAGTATGAAAGATACAGGATGCGAAGTTTCTGAGGATTAGTGGCACAAAAATGAGCCTGAATCACTCATAGAAAATACTCACAAGTCACCCAAAAATGTGGACCCTCTAATTTTCAGAGTTTCATGTGATTCAGATCTGTAGGAGGAAAAAAAGCTCCTCTGTAGTTGTCAAAGGCTGGTTTGTCCTAGACATGGATCCCACTGCCTGACTCAGGTTTCAACTATTCCTCATTTAATTTAAAGGTTAAATTACTGGGACAGCCTGGGAATCAGAATAAAAGGCTTTGCAAGGCTTTATAAACCTGATTTGAATCTCAATATGTTTGGCAACATATAAACATATATATATTTTTTATTATCTCCAAAGTGTTTAAATATATATGACGTGTTTAAATATAAATATATTTTTTTCACCTTTTATTTTCAAATCTGCCCACGCCTGTGGTTTATGATAGTTTTATAATTATATAAATTATATAGTTTTTCAATGATACAACCACTAAAATGAAAACAAAACTGAAAAAATAAGAACAAGTCAAATCTAGTTAGTGACAGAGTTTGAGGAGATTTTTATTTTTATGTAAACACATACAAAGCAGAATTGGAAAATCAGAGTAAAACCTCCAGCTTGAATTAGGATCTACTTGCCCCTTCTGACGATGACTTATTCTGGAAACACTGTGTCTAAATTCAGCAGCCATTGGATCCATCACATCAGCAATCTCTGGAAGTGTTGTTAAAACACTAAAGCATCGAAGTAGAGATATTGCGCCCCTGTTCTGATCACCATTGTTACACTAATAGCACTGATCAGATTTGTCTAAAAATCTTTCTTCAGATATTTTATTTTAGGTTCACATTTTGGTGATTGTGAAACACTCACATTTCAGTACATTACCATTGTGAGCTTTACTTGCCAGAATGTAACTGTACCACAGTAGTGTTACTGTCCAAATGGTTTACCTAGAATACTGTCTCCAAAAAAACTCAAAGGGTATAAGTCCACCAGAGAGTAACATTTTCATATCAATATGTTTAGCTCTAAAAAGTTAATTCAAGTTGTACATGTGGTAGATTAAAGTACTTACATAATTTCTTGCCCAGATTTTCTTAAATATTGATTAACTTATATTGAAATCAGTCATCAGTCAATTAGAGTCAATGCAATCAGCTGGTTTTCTTTAGAAAACTTTGAATCAATTTGACAGTATGATCTGGTTGATTTGTAAAGTGCCTTGAGATGACATGTTGTGGATTGGCGCTATATAGATAAATTGAATTGATTTGATTTTTATTTGCTAAACTGCTCTCAACATCTTTTTCTGGGTCACCTTTAAACAGCTTGGATGAGTTATTTATTTCCCCAAAAGCCTCTTTGTTTTCAAGAAAACAATACATTTTGTGTCTACAGTTATAGAGAGTATTGGACTGGCTTTAGTGGTTTTCCATTTAACTTTTCTATAATGTGTTGGGATCTCAGTTTTTTTTTTTTTTTTTGAATGATTTTATAGATCTTGCCTTGTGTTTTTATTCTGCTTCTTACAGACACACTTTTGTTTAGATTTTATGTGATGGACCAACATAAATTTAGTAGGAATTTCTTAGTGGAAGGAAGATGATAAATAGCTTTCCAAATTTTTAATGGAAAGCCATTAGTTGCCCCAATTGCAGGTTTCTACAAGCCTTGTAGGGGCTAGAGCAAACTTGTAAAAGTTTTTATCAGATGACACTTAAAAAAAAAAGAAAAATGTTTTGCTCTATATCCAAAAAGACTCCATCCCCTTCAAGCAACATGGTAGGTGCACTATAATGCTGCAGGGAAGATTTTCTGTTGGAGCAAGGGAACATACAATAAGCTAGATGGTTGGAACAAAGTAAAGGACAATTGAAAAAATATTTTTGGGGTGGGTACTCTTAAGCCTGCCACAAACTAACCGAAGAAACACACACTTTGTGGACATTTTATCTGGTTTATCCTTCTTTTCAATTCGGAACCTCTAGTTAATTTCCAATCGGGGGATATCACTCTGACAAAAGACTGTAACCTGCTTAGTGCGCTTGGAAGAGAGGAAGATTATGGGCTGTGAAGTAGAGCGAGGAGGCGGGACTGTCACCAGAGTGGGTCACGTGTAGCACTCCTTCTGATCTTGCAGAGAATGTTTTGAGACGAGGACAGGCTGCTAGGTTAGTTATGGTTGGCAGCGTATCATAGAGATGTGATGCTGATAAAGGTTGTTGAACTGATGCAACAGTGAACCTTGAAAGAAGAGGATATTTTTAACATCTTGGAGACAAACACACTCTCTGCTGTTGCTATGGGGGGCTCCCTCAGTCAGCAAAGGAGAGCATCAGTCAGCTCTTCTGGGAAGAAGAACAGCATGTAAGATGAGACCTGTTTTTAAACCTGTTTGAAATACCCTGTAAGCTTGTGTTGGAGGGGAAGGTGACTGAAAGCAATATAATTGGAAGACAAGTATCTGGGTACTTTCACTGAAGGCAAATTAGTCATCATACCTCTGTGTTTACAGTGTCAGCTGATCACTGATTTTAATACGGCTTAGCTATTCAAATCTGAGGGGAATCAGAGGGCAAGTCTGAGGAGTGGAAGCAAGGTTTGGTTGCTGAAATGTTTTTGATTAGGGGGATTTTATTACTTACAAGCTGTATAATGTGCTGAATCACTGCTGCCATAGTAATATAAGCATGTGGAATGTCACACCTGAATTGATGCATTGTTTGATAGGCTATGGTAGTTGTAATGTCATGCAATTTTTCCATATTGATGATCTAGGATATACTATAACTGCCCTAAATGCTCAGATGTGATATTACTCTCAACGGTGGAGATGCTAAAGCTACAGGAGAGTGCTTGGAACATTTTGTAAAGAGAGACTCAGGATTTCTAATCAAAATTCTCGCACTTTTCAGCCAAAATGTTGCAGCTAAATATTTTTTTTTTATGTTGTGCAAACCCCACTGTTAATTATGCATATGACCTGATTTTAGCAGGAGTATCTACAAGGCATTGTTTATTTTATGTGTAATGTTGTTATAAGAGATTATAAAAGTGAAAGATCCTGAGGCATCTATGAGAGCATAAACATTTATGTCTTTTTCCTGCTAATCCTCTTAGTAAATGTCTTTCCATTGATGGTTGTCATTAAAAGCTCCCAGAAGCCCCATGCAGTGAATTTTTTTCCCTCAATTCACATGAAAGTCTGAGCTGGGCTATATTTAGATGCTTGTTTTTTTTTTTTTTTTTTTTTTCATTTTCTCAATAGTTTCTTATCAGGAAGGACAAGAGTTTTAAGATGTGAAAAACCTTGGTAGGATGTTTAGGAGACTGCTACAACTGAAAAGCTCAAAAGCTGAAGCAACCTTTTTTAAAATAAAGGTCTGAATCATCTGCATTCATCTCTGCTTATGTTAGGTCAGGTGGGGGTTGGGGTCTTCCCTGTAGGCAAATCTTTACAGCCAGAAAAAAAAAATAATATAAAAAAAATTGCTGCTTATGGACTAATTTTAGCCGGCTTCATCATCCTTCGTTTAACTGGAGCAGTAGTGGTTGTGCTGTTCTCCAGAAACCCAGAACATCCACACTATCGCTCAGCTGGAAGGAAACTGACCTGCATTGTGAGCTATTCACAGTGATAAAAATAAAACGCTGAAAACTAGAGTTGAAAATGTCATGTCTTTGTGCATGAATATATTTTTAACTAGGCTATTATCTACGGCAGATATAATTACCTAATTCAAGCACACAAAGTGGTGATAGTTAAGTCCATTAAAATGTGTAGAACAGAATGATGCAGACCACTAGAAAATGAAGCAAAATGACATGAATCAGCCGAAGTATATGTTTATTTAAAGCAATCCTGCTCCATATGAGTGCATATTAATATCAACTGGTTAGTCCTAATGATGGACTATTATCTTATTTCCTAGGTATTACAAAAGAAGCTTGTCATTACGGGTAAAAAAAAGAGAAACATCTGCCTGGGAAATCAGGAGAATGATCTGGCCAAGGGCAATCAGACAAGAGGTTCAGAAAGACCTGGAATTAGCAGGCTCAGATGG